TTTCATCTTAATTGCATGCATGGCATTTGTTTTAAAACGTGGCGTCTGGAAGCAGGTATGGGAGGTACAAGGTCCTGTTGAAAACTTGTGTTGGACTATAAAAGCTGGGCATTTGTTATTGCATGGTAGCGGTCTCTGACGTTGGTGTGCTATAGGAGACCAGAGGTTTAGGTCATAAAATCCTGTCCTAGCGGTCTTGCATGTATCTTCTTTGCAACTTAGCGTAAATTCCGCAACTGTATGCGTGAGCCCTTTTAACTTTTCCAAGACATTGAAGCAATTCCTAAACCCGCGAAGGTGTCATAATTTTAAATGTTTAAAATCATGGCAGTTTTGTTCTTCTCCATCAGCCGAAGAAGGATTAAAATAAGTAGGCAGTTGAGAATATTTGAACAGTTTAGCAAGCTAAACTGCAGCATATAATCATCGCTGTAAAAATATCGGTATTGGTTTTTCAACGGCGATGTATACACCTCTATGCAATATGCTGAAAAGTTCATTTATACCTATGTTCACATTCGCTATATGTTCATCTGCATAAATTTTAAATTTCCCCGTTAGTGAAAACCCCAAGTTAAAATATATGCAGAAAAAGGAATCTGCATGCCAAATTACCTCATGCGAGTGTTTGAAGACAATGATACGTATTTAGGGGATTTGGCAGATTCGCCTAATTTAGTTGACTCAGTTGTGAAAAAAACTCGCAGCGTCGGCAGAAGTAGCATCCGCACAGCAGGGATGGCCTTTACGCAGCCAACGCTCTACCGATTTCAGCTTCGACGCCGCACCTGCGCTGCCAATTTAATCACACTTGAATGGCTCCATATGGTGGATTCCATACGAACGGTTAAGTTGGTCGGGTGAAATCAATCCAAGTATGATTCAATTCACGGCGTAGGCATGGTGTCGTAGCTCAAATCGGTAGAGCGTTGGCTGCTTAAAGGCCTGACCTGCAAAGTGGCTCTCAAGACTCTCTTTTATATACATATTACTGGGCCTTCTGAATAACGTTTCTAAGGTATTGGCCATGTTTAGATTATTGCACATTAATTAATCAACAAAACATTCCACATCACAAGTAGTCAGGAGGTGTAACGTTTCGAAGCATGCCAAATTATTTACCTTTTGACTATCTTTAGTATAAAGCACACTTCTTTATTGCTGATTGCGTAAATAACTCTTTTTGCTTTACGTATAACATTCTCTCTAGAGGAGGACATACCTGTCGATGGGCATAGACGACAGCTGCGAGCAATTTGAATGAGCCTGCTCGACGATCAACGCGAATCATTCGCAGGATCTGAAAGAACCTCAGACCTCTGAGTGCGCTGGCAGCAAAAACATTGTTGTCATTGTCTCCGGCCAGCACAACAACACTGGACACGATGAGAATAACATCTGGAGCAAAAGAAGAGAGCTGATAATCTACACACGTTATGGAACTGGGCTTTGGCTATAGAATATAAGTTTAAGCTTATTAAATTTATATAGGTAGATTTGTCATAGCTTGTAAGTTCTCCAATAGGTTTTGCTGACTGTGTTGAGTTCTATTTAATTTGCAAATTTTTGGCAGAGCCTATAGCACATGACTAATAATTATTTAGAGGTGAAATCTCAGGTAAAACCACTCACATAAATTGTATATAGGCCTTTGAAACTATTTTTATGTGCAATTGGTGTGAATTATCCTCTTTCGTTGAGGTTTGTTGTGTTATCTGTAAGTTTGCCGAAAAATAGCACATCCAGAGCAAGTTTTGTAGTGAAGTTTGAAATAGTTAATAAAGATTTTAACGTATAGATCCGTAGGCAAAATAATGCGTACTTAGTTGCTCAGCAAGGATATACAAGCCGGTAGCTAATTGCATGTGTCCGAATGATAAAATTACTTTAAATCGATGAGTGATCGCCGCGAGTCGTACAAAACTATAGATTAAGCACGGCTACATTTAGCTTTACTATGAGTAACGGATAAATATTTTGCATATTCTTACAAATGACAAAAAGAATTATCTGTAGTAGTTTTATCGTCAACTTGCTATTGTAGGTAATTATAATTCTATGCAAATGTCACTGCCTATGTCTGATTTAATGTGTCTTTTTAAGGGATTATGTTCTGAAAAATACATAAATAATCGTATAAGCTGTTTGCTACAGGAATAATCAAGCACAGTCAGTATTATGTCACTTGCGATCATGTAAATGCGTATAAATATGTTGTAAATCCAATTTAGTTCTGGCTGCAGTAAACCTTATCAGGCAGTTGGCCATCTTTAACGAAAAAGAAGCAAATTCTGCACTTTTAGGTATATTTTCTTGACATTTTCCTGTTGTCTTCCACAAAACTAAAAAGCAAATGCTAATTTACTATGCTTTCACTTGTAACTTTTTCTCATGCTCTCAAATGCACATGCAAACTTCCGATGCTAGCCATTACTTCGTCCTCTTGCTACTTGCAATTCAGTAATCACCCAAATGGCCAACGTTTGCTAAGGTCAAACTGAGGACATTTACAATGGAAAATTTTTCAAGAATTTGATGTTTTGCAACATTTGTAAATAAGTGGTCGATTTCCATCAATGTCTATGAACGTTCAGAGCCATATTATAACTCAAAACACAATTTATAATTGACGATGGGTTTTGGGCTGACTGGCCTAATGATAGGGCATTAATTGCCAGCTTAGAGGAAAAACACTTCAACAATAATGATTTAGCTATGCTTTTCTGGAATAATTTTCCGTTAAGCAATCCTCTTCATACATTGATTATATGACAGCTTCATCTTTAAGCGACTTAAACCTCAGTGTCAATGTTTAGCTACGTTAAAAATCTAATGAGCCATTAAACAGAGTATGATCTGAGTGGCCATATTTCATCTATATTATCACCCTTTTCACTCTATTATAAATACGTAAAAAATATCGCCTAAATATACGCAACACAGATTTTAAAGGTATAAAGAACACTAGTGAAAAATTATGCTTTTTGAATAAAAGCGAAGAATCAGTCAAGAGCTAACAGTGAACAGGCTTTATGCATAGCACTTTTTCCTTCAGCTACTGTGGACAGTAAAATATGGTAGGCTTTTACGCCAGTCCTGCAAATTCTGAGATCATCCGCTAATCTGCTTCATAAATCATACATATTTAGCCATTTTTTGAATGTTTTGTTTTCAGACTGTGATTTCTGACATCTTTAAAGTAACGCTACGTCAACACCACTTTAAGATACGGCTATAACTGAATGAAAAATTTCAGAAGTTATGAAATTATGGCGTATAATGAACTAAACCGGTCACACTGCTACTTTACTGGTATAATTGTCTCTGGTTATTACGCGCTAGTCAACGAAAGTGATTTTGGACAGCTAAGCGAGCCGCATTTAATGTTTATCTTAACATCGACTTCCACAGAGTTGGAGGGCTGGTAAAAGGACGCAAGTAGGACCAGGACTGTAAGGCAAGTTAACTTGTCTCAACCCCCGGTCATTGAAAATTGCTAATTTTTATCTTTAAAGGCTCAGCACATTTTTTGTGCATGAACTGCCACGACTTGATTCCTTTCATAACTTGAAGACTAGAATTCAAGATTTCTGGCTCAGCAGAAAGTTTAGTTTGAAGTTAAAACTTAAATTTCAAATGCATACGGAAACGGCGGCAGACAGCCAAACTTAACTTACACAACTACTTAAATAGAAAACATGGAGCGCAGATAGTATTGCAAGTTATACAATTTTACTAATGACATTAAGCAGTGGACGGAAAAAAAATAGCTGGAAGAAATTGTAAGCTAAGCTAACTCGTCATTTTTACCGACGATGCAGAATGGTCGTCGAGCGAATCGCAATCTTCCTCGCCAGCCCTGGTACCTTGATCTGCAGCCCGAGCTCCAAATACGCACGACATACTCGACGAAGAACCAAATAAGCAGGACCAATTCCTACAAAACAACAGAGCGTAATGCTTTTTATCGCGAGTTTCTAAATGAAAAAAAAACGTTGAGGCACTCCAGTTTCTCCGAAAAAGCTACTACTGCCAATATTGAAGGATATTGTATGTTGCTGTAGCAATGCCGAGGCCACGCATGGAATCCATTAGGTCAGGTGCGTAACAAAATTCAGCTATTAGCGTGAATGCATTATAAACGAAAGTCCATTTTGTTGTTTCAAGATGTAGCCTAGGTTAATCTGCATGTGCTCCAACGACCTACACATCAATGCGATTTTTATTGTGCATACTCTTGCTGTTTGCGCCAGGAAGTTATCTTAAGACCGACATTGGCAAAATTTGAAAAAACAAATTTCAAGTGCGTGTTACAGACTATGGTAGGTGTCATCTAGAAGAGAAGCAACTTAGATGTCGTGACTAACTTATTAAGTAGAATAGCGTTCAACCATCGGTCTTGGTGCCAGAATAAATTCAAACAGCTAGGAAATCACGGAGCACGTTTTCTGTTGCTACAGGCAAGGGACGTCTGTTTAACAACATGGAAGGGGGAGATGTCGTATTCTAGATGGCCGTTTTACAAACGTAGCCAGATGGTTAATATACCATTTACAGTTTCTAGGCTGTCCAACGCAAATTGAGTTTTAACCTATGGAAACATGATGTTTAGCAATAACAGACAGGTTCAGTGATTGGAAGAGTAGCATATATGTAGATATTTTGAAGGTTATTGAGCAAAATATACCAGCCCGTGTAGTGTGCCTCACTTTATGAATTTCGCATACTGCATACTAAAACTTTGTGAAACACTTTGTACCGGGAGGATAATTCTCAATTTTGTTTTATATGCTTAGCTATAACAGACAGAAGTATTGACAAAATAAACCAAAGCATCGATTTCAGAGAAAATCTTGTCTTATGGTGGTATTTGCGTTCTGTTACTTAATTTACTACTGGAGCACGATTACAGTGGACTGGCGTTTTTGATATAGCGTTCTAGTTCACAGGTGTCCTACGAGCTAGAGCCCC